TTCTTTCCTTGAGATGCACAGTTCTTTGCAAATACTATTTATTAGGTGTAACCTAACATAGGTTTTTATTAGCCTGTTTTAGTCCATTTGGACTGCTATAATAAGTTACCACAGACTGGGTAGCTTATAAACGACAGAAATGTATCTCTCACAGTTCTCGAGGCTGGAAATCCCAAAATCTAGGTGCCAGCATGGTTGGGTTCTTGGTGAAGGCCTCTTCTAGGTTTCAGACTTCTGACTTCTTGCTGTATCCTCACATGGTAGAAGGGGCAGGGGAGCTCTTTTTTAAGCACATTAATCTCATTCATGAGGGCTCTGCTCTTGTGACCTAATCACCTCTCAAAGGCCCCACTTCTGAAATATCACATTGGGGATTAGAATTTCCATAAAAGAATTTTTGGTAGGAGGGGCAGAAGCATTCAGATTACAGCCTAGCCTGTTTCTAAAGTAATTCTAGATGCCAGATTATATCCTTTTGTTTAAAACATGGTTTTTCTATGTCTCATAAGGTCCTTTCTGTCTGGAACGTGGTGTTTGAAGCTACTCTCTTTCCTTGTCTGAAGTGTACAGGTTGAACATCTCTCCCAGGCATGTTTACAATATTACCTTGGGATTTTTTTTTCTGTTAGGACTCTCCATTTGGCACATCATATTCCTCCAACAGCCATTGTCAGTTTAATCAGTATTATTTTTTTTTGCCTCTAGTTGCAATCACTTGCTTTAATAATGACTGTTGTCATCTTGTCTATCTTTGGGAGAACTTCACTTTTTCAACGCATTTCTAAAAAGACGTGTCATCCAAAAGGTGTAAACTCTCTTTTAGGCATTTTATTAATCTTCATATCACAAGCACCTGGCACATATCAGGTGGTTATTTAATGTTTATTTAAATGAAATTTCAATTATTTAAATATATTATTTAAAAATATATTTATTTAAATATATTATTTAAATAAATTATTAAATATATATAAATTTATTAATTATAATTTAAGTTATTTAAATGCATCCATGGCCATTACAGCTCTGCCACTTTTTTATTTTTCCACTTGTTTCCTTCAAGTATGGTTCCCTGTTTGTTCCTCAGAAGACATAAAGGCATTATATGTGTGTATATATCTCTAATGTAGCTGGTGATAGAGGTAGGGAACTTGGCTTATGATCTCTTTCAAGATCACATGACTATTGATGTTTGGGCTAGACGAAAGATGGTTGAGCACAAGAGTGCCTATGTTCTGCCATAGCTGCCATTAGAAAAAAAATTTTTTTGGAAATTCCAAGCTTACTGGTTGTTTCTACAGCCTTATTCTGTATGAAATAGTTTAACTGTTACCTAGCAGATCTTTAAGGTTTTAAAAATCATTTTCTGAATCTATGGTTTGGTTACTTTTTCCACCTTATGGAGCAAAGGTCATTCTAGTTGGTTGTGCTAAACTTGAGACACTCAATAGAATATTATAAGCCAGTTTTTCTGTTGTGAAAGATGCAAAGGTTGATATTTGTTATAAATAAAAGTACATATCTTCAGGATGCCTGGGTGGCTCAGTTGGTTAAGCGGCTGTCTTCGGCTCAGGTCATGATCCCAGCGTTCTGGGATTGAGTCCCACATCGGGCTCCTTGCTCCACAGGGAGCCTGCTTCTCCCTCTGCCTCTGCCTGCCACTCTGCCTGCCTGTGCTCTATCTCTCTGACAAATAAATAAAATCTTTAAAAAAAAGTACATATCTTCTCTTTTAGATTACTGCCTTAAATTGCACCTAGAAAGAAACTGGTAGTTGACAGTACAGATCACTGATAGAATAGCCTTGTTGCAGTAATACTGTTAAAAAAAAAAGCATAATGGAGGTGGTTCGCACTGTAGCACATTGAAAATATAAGTTTTAGGAGTGCCTGGGTGGCTCAGTTGGTTAAGCATCGGCCTTTGGCTCAGGTCATGATCCTGAAGTCCTGGCATCAAGTCCTGCATCAGGCTCCCCTGCTCTACCCCTCACCCTGCTCGTGCTCTTTCTCTTTCACACACACACTCTCTCTCATAAATAATAAAATCTTGAAAAGAAAAGAAAAGAAACTTTAAAACAATGTGAATGAAGCACAGCATTCCCATAACATGTTGTTCTAGTTGTAGCTTGATGGGTAATTAGAAACCAGCAATTTTTTCAAAATTATATTTAATGGATCTTTTGTCATCTCTGATAGAGTATTTTTATTTGGTGATTGGATTTTTATATTTAATAAATTAGGAGAGCAGTTACAAGGCTGGAGAATTTGGAGGTATTTTTTCAGTTTTATTGAGGCATACTTGACATAAATAAACTGTATATTTCAAGTGTATAGTTTGAGTTATGTATGCATCTGTGAAAACATCACCACAATCTAGATAATGCACATTTACCATTGTCCCCTTGCCCTAAATTTCTTCTTGCCCCTTTGCATTTTATCTTCCTTCACTCTGTTTCCCCCTCTCCAGGCAACCACTGGTCTGTTTTCTGTCACTATAGATTAGTTCCCATTTTTTAGAATTCTTTTATAAATGGAATCATATAATGACTATTCTTTTTTGGTCTGGCTTTTTTCATTCAGCATAATTATTTTGTGATTCATCCATGTTTTTGCTTGTATTATTAGTTCTTTCCTTGTTATTTCTGAGTAATAGTCTACTGTATATACTACAGTTACAGTGTAATACAGTTTATCCATTTACATACTGGTAGACATTTGAGTGTGTACTATTATAAAGAAAGTTGTTTAATAAAGACATTTGTACAAGTCTTTGTATGAACATAGACATTTCTCTTGGGTAAATACTTAGGAATAAAAAAATACTTAGGAATGAAATGGCTGGGTCATATAAACATAGTTATAAGTTGAATTTTTAAGGAAATTGCCAGTTTTACAAAGTAGTGCCATTTGACATTTTATATTTCCACCAGCAGCCTTTAAAAATTCCATTTGCAGGGGGTTGCCTGGGTGACTCAGTTGGTTAAGCGACTGACTACCTTTGGCTAAGGTCATGATCCTGGAGTCCCGGGATTGGGCTCCCTGCTCAGCAGGGAGTTTGCTTCTCCCTCTGACCCTCCCGCTCCATGCTTTCTCTCTCTCTCTCATAAATAAATCTTTAAAAAAATCCATTTGCTATTTTGGAGTCACTTCTACATTCATAGGCCATACTTTTTGGGGGTATAGAGAGAGATGAAAATATTTAGAAGTTTTCTTCTCAGAACTTTAGGTAAATAATTCGTTGGAGAATATGTGAAAATTTGGAACTCTTTTCAGTAAGACATCATTACTGTGTTAGTCTTTTTTCCCTTCAGTATGAGAAATAAAAGAAAATGTATTCTTAACTTTGGATTTCATAAAAAGAGGCAAGAAATACTCCTTACATTTGGAGAGTTTGGTTTTCCAAGTGATTGTTAAGAATATTAGTTTATTAGTTTATAGCATTCAGTGTAACTAAGTGTAGAGTTAATAGAAGTAACTCTGGAAATCTCTTATAATAGGTTATATAAGAAATTTCTTTGAAAAATCTCTTTAGGTCATCTATAAAATACAGTATTCAGAACTAACATTTAAGTTTAACACAGTTGTTTTTTCTTCCTCCAGCATTAGAAGAAATGACTATTTGTTTGCCCCAATAGGTGGTTAGCTTGCATGGAGGCACTATGTTTAATGAAAAATATGTAATTTAAAATAGAGTTCCATTCAGGTTGATGTGCAAAGGCATATGGGAGTTGATAAAAACCGAGGGGACAGCAGCTTGATAATTTTGTGCTCAGGGTTATAAGCATACATTTTATTGAGAGGAATGGTGGGTGGAACTTCTGTATTGTTTAAATTTATTTCGCCTTTTTTTGTTGTGTGCAAATGGTTGCATTCTCATAAATTAAATGCACATATGATAGGACTGCACTATAATACAATTATGGTAACAGGTGAAGCTGGATGCAAATGGAATTAATAATGTATTAAGAATAGGGTGGCTGGGACACCTGAGTGGTTCAGTTGGTTAAGTGTCTGCCTTTGGCTTGGGTTATGATCCCAGGGTCCTGGGACCAAGTCCCACATCAGGCTCCTTGCTCAGTGGAGAGCTGCTTCTCCCTCTGCCTGCTGCTCCCTATGCTTGTGTTCTCTCTCTAATAAATAAAACCTTAAAAAAATTAAAAAAAAAAGAATAGGGTGGCTGATAGGAATGTCTATTAAATCTGTGTCCATTGGCCCTTTTGAGCTTACTCCAAGAGATTAGCAAGGGTAAGTAGCCATCGGGACCTATTCAGTGCTGTTTTTGTTTTCTTTTCTGGCTCTGCCTGGATTGTTTTCCTCCTCTCTTTGCTTGTATTATCTACACTCTTTGGTTATGTCCCCAGCTCCTTGGTGTTCTTTCATCTCTTCAGTATCAGTAGTATACTTGTTTTCTCTTTAGAATGCTGCCAAAAACGACAGATACAAATCAGTGGTGCAGTTATATTTTATAGTTTTGTTGTATATATAAGAAAAACTAAGAAATGATTCTAAAAATGATGTTCTGCTTTTATGAACCTGAACTTTTAACTGTTTACCGACATTCCAAATGCTTCTTAAAACATTAAAGAAAACCCTTTAGTTGCCTAACTTGTAAATGGATTGTTTGATTGTCATATTTTCCTGAGAATTAAAAATGTGGATCTCTTTAATTAGCCTGAGTAATTAAGACCTGAGACAGTGTTGCATAGAAAAGTTTACTTGACTGTGTGTTGCAGGTCCTGGGCTCCAGCCCCAGTACTGTTATTAACCTACTTTGTAATCCTGGGCAAGTCACATTTCTCATCTGTAAAATGTGGGGAGTGGACTTGATCATCTTGAACATTATAAAGATTATCCTCTGATGCAGGGAAAGCAAACTTGTAAAAGAAGTTGTTTTTAAAAATATTTCTATCTTGTTATATAAGTTGTCCCTGAAAATTAATGATTCAATTAAAAAATGATATATAATCATTTTTGAATTTATGTATATCTCATCTGTTGCAGGATGCTTTAATCTGGATCCCAATAGAGTTTTGGATGTCATTTTAGAAGTGTTTGAATGCAGGCCAGAACATGATGACTTCTTTATATCTTTATTAGAATCTTACATGAGTATGTGTGAACCGCAAACACTGTGTCATATTCTTGGGTTCAAATTCAAGTTTTACCAGGTAAAAAAAAAATATGTGTGTGTGTGTGTGTGTGTCTGTGTGTGTATGTGTATACATATATATGTATATATATACAGACATTGATAAATCACATGGTTTTATATTTATAACTTAATTTGAATTTTATTTGTAAATGATTGGTTTCAGCTCATCCATTCTAGCAAAGCAGGTAGATAAATGGATAGCTAACAATGCTGTATGATAAGTACTGTATTAGTAGTATGAATGATATGATGTGAAAGCCTAGAGCAAGGCATAATAAATTTTTGCTTTGGGAGAGATGGAATCAGAGAAAACTTTATAGATACAACTCTTTTTTAACTCAGTCCTTGAAGGATGAGTAGGAGCTTGTTGAGAATTGTCTGTTTAGCAACAACAAATAGCATGAGTGAAGACATGGCAGTATGAATGTATTTAACCGATTGAAGAAATGGTACATAGTCTGGTGTGGCTGGATTGTAAGACAGAGGGAAAGGAAAGAACAGGAAGTGAAGTTGGAAAGGTGGGCACACTTTAGATTGTCAAGGGCCTTAAATACCGTGTTGAATTAGAATTTTATTATACAGGCAATGACTATGGGAATTTTTTTAAGGACGTGGATAAACTCTTGAGATGTATTTTACATTATTTTTCACTTAAATCACTGTAGTAGTTATCTAGCAAGTCTGTGCTTCTGATGATTTCTCTTTCAGTCTATCTTTCATATTATTACTTCTCTTATATTCTAAAAGAGATCGAATTGACACACTGCTCTAAAAACCTTTGCAGGATAAAATTCAAACTTCTAAATGTGGCAGAAAAGGCTCTTCACAGTCTATCCCCATTCTTTCTTTCCAGCCTCATCTTTACTGGGTTTCCCCCCTCAGATCTAATATTCTAGTCATATGAAATTACTAGCCATTTCCTAAAGTTAGGTATAGACACTGGTATATATAGACCTTTATTTATATGCAGTTCCTTATAACTAGAAAACTCTTCTTACTCAACCCTCTCACCTGTCTTTTCTTCATCTCAAGGACTCCTATTTATTTATTTATTTATTTTAAAGATTTTATTTATTTATTTGTCAGACAGAGATCACAAGTAGGCAGAGAAGCAGGCAGAGAGAGAGGAGGAAGCAGGCTCCCCACCGAGCAGAGAGCCTGATGCGGGACTCGATCCCAGAACCCTGGGATCATGACCTGAGCTGAAGGCAGAGGCTTTAACCCACTGAGCCACCCAGGCGCCCCAAGGACTCCTATTTATTCTTTAAGATCAAGTTCTACTTGCTCTGTAAAGTCTTGCTGGCACTTCACCTATGTGGAATTAGTTATTTCTTAATCTCTATTCTCAGAAAACTTGACACAGACTTTTGGCACTTAATCTCTGTTCTTATAAAACTTGACACAGACTTATAGCACTTACCAGGTTATAGTAGCATAAACTATATCTGTGTCCTTTGCCAGATTGTGAGCCAGTTAGGGTGGGGTCTATATTTTACCAGTTTCTCTGAATTAATTTAGCCTATAGTAAATGCTCACTAATTGTAAATGAGTGATCTGTGTTTTTAGGAAGATAACTTTCATGATAGCATGGAGGATTTTAATGTAATAAGGCCTCTATTGTCCTTTTGGTAGAGCATTCCTGATTTGTCTACCTGTCTGGGATACTTAGTCAAGAAATAATCATTTATGGGGGCACCTGGGTGGTTCAGTCATTGGGTGTCTGCCTTCAGCTAGAGTTATGATCCCAGGGTTCTGGGATTGAGCCCCACATTGGGCTCCCTGCTCAGCGGGAGGCCTGCTTCTCCCTCTCCCACTCCCCCTTCTTGCTGTGTCTCTCTCTGCAAATAAATAAATAAAATCTTTTAAAAAAAGAAATACTCATTTATGGAATATTTATGATACACTGTTGCTTTGCTAGGCACTGAGTATACTTTGGTAAAGAAGGTCTTTTCCTGTCCTTGGAGCTCAAATTCAGGATATTAAGACAATTTCTTTTAGGATTCTCAAGTAATACCACCTACTGCCTCTGCTTATCTTTTATTTTCCATTTTCTGGGACTTTCCAGAAGAGAAATCAGATCAGAACTCCATGTAGCATTTTGATACCAAACAAGACATATGGCAGGGTTTTCAGGCAAGAGTACTTAATCTTTGTTCAAACATTAGTCATGGCAGCTTTCCCTGTTCCTACCAACAGTCGGGGAGTCTGCTCTTAGTACAAGGAAACAGAAGTTGAAATATTTATCACATCTTAGGAGGTACCATGATTGCTTTGGGTTTGAGAACATGAAGCCAACTGCTAAAGTGACAAGGTGGCTGAAATTTAACTTGGGCTTAATTAATTAGAATATAGGATACGGCTTTGGAGACTGTAGGTTTCTGAGCATATTACAGTGAATAATGCTGACCTACTGCATAACAACAAGCTTTATTAGTTGAAAGTTTCAGAATTTAAAAATTTTTATATGAAAATATTCCTCATAATGGTAACACTTTTGAGCCGAATTAAAATATCCCTGTGGGTTTGACAGTGTTGGAATAATCCTTTTTTTCAATAGATGATTGGCCCTTTTCTTATATAAGAAATACCCAGTCAAGAAACATTTGATTTAGAAATAACCTATTATCGGAAAGAGTAACCCTCATATTGCTCTATGTAACACCATTCCTTTGTTTCTGTTGCCTGAACTATCTTATACAAAGCTGTAGTCTTAAGGACCACTGAGGGTAGAGGAAGAAATGTCAGAGATTTTCAGTAATTTGTGGTCTGAGAGGTTAAGTGAGGACAACCATGAAAATGAACTGCTTAGGGCACATAAGCCTGGGAATTGGCTCCTAGGCATATGTTGTCACCCTTGTGTATTGGTCCCTTGCCTTACTCTACCCTTCCCTCTTTTCATCACTTTCTGAAAATGTTCATTCCACTTGCCCACAACTCAGATTTTCACCGGTTGGGAATTATTTGGATAAACAGGCTTCTTTTTTTTTTTCCTTAATGCTAGGATTTCTAGGCAAAGCTGATTATTTATGCCATGAAGTCAGTGAGAGTGATTTTATCCTATTTTCAACCTGGGATCGGCTATACTGGATGTTTTGACTTGGAAGAGTGGCAGGGGATGTAAGCAGTTTGAAAGCAGACTTTGGAAAATTTGTCAGGTGCATCTGCTTGATTTCCTTAACAGGGATGGCTGTAATAGAGGGCTTAGGGACAGCATGAGGATTAGGACAAAGGACAGAAAGAAAGGAGTACTAGAATGTGTCAGGGTACCAAAAGGCTAGAGTTGTCTTGCCACAGGAAAGAGAAAGGAGATGATGACTCTTACCCATATCATAGCCCCTTGATTTCTGGATTCAGAACATGACTATAGTAGTAATAGTGGTATTGTGGCTAGGTATTATTATAACTTAAGTTCACTCACTTAAGAGATAATAATCGGGGGCACCTGGGTGGATCAGTCAGTTAAGCATCCAACTCTTGATCTCAGCTCAGATCTTGATCTCAGGGTCATGAGTTCAAGCCCTGCACTGTGCACCATGCTGGGCATGGAGCCTGCTTTTGGGGAAAAAAAAATACTGATCAGTGGGGCACCTGGCTCGCTGAGTTGGTGGAGCATGAAACTCTTGATCTCAAGTGAGTTTGAGCCCTGCTTTGGGTATAGAGATTACTTAAAAAAATATTTGAAGAAAAAAAGTATTGATCAAGTACTTCTTATGTGCCAGGTAATGTTCTGGATGCTGGGGCTACATCTGTAAACAAATAGAAATTCTTGCCTTTGTGATGCTTATATTTGAGGTAAATTATATGGTATATTAGGAGGTGATCAGTGAGATGGGGCAAAAAAAAAATGTAGAGCAGGGTAAGGAAGAATGGGAGTGCTAGAGAAGTAGGTTGCAATTTTACATGGAATAGTGAGAGTATACCTCATTGAAAAGATAAATTTAAGCAATGAAATGAAGATGTGAGGTTTAAACTCTGCAGATATCTGGGGAAGAGGCCCTAGGCAAAGAGAACAGCCAACGCAAAGGCCTTAAGGTGTGAGCATGCCTGATGTGTTGGAAAACAACAAGGAGACCAATGTTTTTGGATCAGACCTTAGTAGCTGCCTCTAATGGTGACATGGCAGTATGTGTGTATGAGAGAGAGAGAGAAAAGAGAGATGGAAGGCATTGTGTATATGTGTATTTTGACTTAGGTTATCAAAGAATCAATGTGGTTAAGGTAGCAGTAGAACTTGATGAGCTTCTGAATATATTCTGAAGGTGGAGCCAATCGTATTCGTTGATTGATTAGATACAGAATGTGAGAGAGTAGAGTTGGGGCTATTTCTAACCTTTTTTTTTTTTTTTTTGGTACTGAGCAGCTAAAAGGATGGTGTTATTATCAAATGAGATAGAGTAAATTTCAAGTGAAATGGGTTTGGTGTACTGTGGGTAGGAGTCAGGAATTCCAGTTTTGCATATTTTAAGTTTGAGATGTCTTAGATATCCAAGTGAGATGTTGAGTAAATAATTGGATGTATAGATCTGGTATTCAAGAGAAAGGACTGGGTTAGAAATAGAAATGTAGATGTCAGAAGCATGTAGATGATATTTAAAGTTGTGATGCTAAATGAAATCACCAAGAGTTGGGTCTAGAGAGACAAGAGAAGAGAACCAGGGGCTGAGCCTTGGCATTCCAATGTTAAAGGCCTGGAGAAGAGGAGGAATCAGCAAAGGAGATACAGAAGTAATGCATAAGGTAAGAGGACAATAAAGAAGATGTAGCATCTTGGAAGCTAAATGGAAGAAGGAATGATGAACTTTGTTAAATGCCTCTGATAGGTCATTTAAGATGAGGACTAATATTTGGTCTTTGGATTTATCATCAGGGAGGGCAAAACTAGCCATTTTCGTAAAGTTGGGGTGGTGTTAAGAGAATGGGGAGAATAAACTGGAGATAGAGTAGACAACTCTATAGCGGTTGTTACAAAGAGACACAAAGGTAGCTGCCAGGGGAAGTGAGCTCAAGAGAGATTAT